TGTGTCAGATTCAACATCAGATACTTGACACTATCTTACATACTGTACTACAACCCAACCTTAGATACACACGACAGTTCAGTTCAAGAAACACAAAAACACAATCTTACTACAAAGTGACAGCCACGCCACCCAATGCAGGACCAAAAATACACATATTTCTGTCTGTTGACAGCTGATTAACATTAAAAATGTTAATGTTAGCTGTTGAAGCTTTTATTAGAAAATAGTACAACAGGCTTAGAAACCAAAGGCTGCAGTATTTGCTAAAACACATCATTATCATACATATGTTATATAAATAAAAACTGTAATTAACCGTATTTTATATGTACATATATTTTACAACTGTACAGGTTAATTAATTATTTGCCATTCTGTATTTGCATAACCTGATCATCAGCTATTAATTTCTTGTTGCATAATCTCCCAACAAGGTAACAGATCAAGAAATGCATGGGACATTCTTTCAACAAGATACATGTGACATACATTCAACAAAATACATGTGACATACATCCAAAAAAATACATGTGACATACATTCAACAAACAGTTGGTCTCATTTGAAAAGACTGACGCATAAGAAGAGGAACATAAGACAAACAGTCGATATCAAGACATATATGTGACATCAGTAAACAATCATTATTCAGAAGAAAAGTGACACAGATATAGTCAATGAGATAACAGACTATACCATGTGTGGATGTATATGAACAATCAACAGGTCTCACGTCCTAAGACAACTGACACACAAAGAGACAGACACAAAGATGTATATATAAATATGATGTACTTTCAAAGCACAATGTGTCTGATCACTTAAGACAACTCAACATACAAACTTCAACTTGACATCTCTAGCAATCTGTATATCATTGCCAGCAGTTGGAGAAATGGCAAGAAAAGAGCAAATAATAAATACACTTTTCACACAAAAATAATTACTGATACAAAAAAAACAACACACACTAACAATAAAACAGTTAAGTCTGCACAAGAAAACAGCTGGTGATATTGACAGAAATCAGCATAAGTCATTGTATTACTGATGGATTTACTACAGAAGAAACTGAGAAACAAAGGTAGCCATAAACATGTTGCAGAGCAATGCTTAACATTGTGTAGATTTACAATTAAGCAAAGAACAGACATTTTAAAACAAACACGCAACCACAGACGAATTACTATAGTATTATGCTTGCTTTGAGAAGTAAGTTTACACAACCACAGTCTGCTTTCATTCAACATCCTCTTTTTACAATTCACTGCCCTTTTTACAATTCACTATTCTCTGTACAGTTCACCACCTTCTTTGCAGGGCTAATCATCCTCTGTATAGTTCACCATCCTCTTTGTACAAACACTTAACACTGCTTATGTATAAAATAAAATAGACTAACAGATAAAATATATACACTCGTTAAACTTAGATTTTATCTGATAATATTTAGTACTCGACAAAGCTGTATGCACCATTTAATGCAGTTAATTACCTGACATATATGACTGACATAGAAGTGATAGCTATCCACTTTTACTTTATCCACAGATAGCAAGCAAACCAAATAAGTCTTCAGCTTATAATCAATCCTGTATATGCTATCATTCCCTAAATCCCTGGTATTGCCTCATTCTAGTAATCTGACCCTGTATATGCAATCATTCCTAAATCCCTGGTATTGCCTCATTCCAATAATCTGACCCCGTATATGCAATCTTTCCATAAAGCCCTGGTATACTGCCTTATTCCAGTAATCCAACAGTTAGTCTATTATATTTCTAAATCTGTTTTCATTTACCCCACAATTTAGGCAATTCTACTTTTGCTATTTATTTCCTTTCCTCACAAGCTATGGGAAATATTCATATAAAGTATGTAAGTATTCACATAAACTATGTAAGTTTTCAGACAGCCATAGAAATATTCACAAAAGCTAATATGAACAAGGTAATTTAAAACACTGCTATTGTCTACAGTGAATACACAAATTCAGTAAAAGGCATTAAAAAAAAAACACATTTACTTAATGAGGTAGTGATATGAACACTGGGAACCGCAGGAAGAGGAAATATAAACAAACATGATAAAGCTGTTCTGATGAATATTAGTTGTGGTAACAGAGACCATTGAATTCACTGTGTGGGTTCCGGGGCCCTGTTATAACTGCCTACCCAAAAGCATGTCTTAAGAGTCGACTAATTGGGAGCTTCCTTTAAAGTCGTAGTGCATCTGCCTAAGAGGCAGTCTGCATACAAATTAGTCAGATCTGTCAAACAGATGCCCACACAAAACTCAGGTTCTGGAACAGGGCTGCAGTCCAGAAGTGGTCGAACAACCAGAACTTTACAGCTGGTGAATGAGAAGAAAAAGAAAAAGAAGAGACCGCTCAATGTATATTCATAGGAGCTGGAAAAACTAAAAGGAGGGAAACAAATCATTTTAATTCGACTGAAAAAACTAGCTTCTTTGTCTTGTGCATCAATCCAAAGATGTCAATTTGTTGCGCCCATTTACAAGATGGCTGTGATATTTGCCCTTTTTCACCAACATATCCGACTTCTGCAGACATTTGTTGCCAGGTTAGCCTTCCTGGGAAAACACTAGCCTATGACACAGATTTATGAAACACCGCACTGTAAATATTAGGGTCTCCCTGACTTGCAGGCTCCCAATGGCAGCTAGACACAGATAGTAAACAGATATGACAAGGGCGCATACTTAACAAGACTGTGTTAGCACTCTCAATGCACAGTTCTCGCCCTTAATCTCAGAGAAACACTGACCATAGAGATGTTATGCATAACTTAAGAGACATTACACACAATTTTAGAGAAGTTATACATGACTTTAGAGAAGTTACACATAACTTTCAAAAGTCAAACATAAGTTCAGACATAAGCTCCTTTAAATAGTAAACTTTATGTGGCTAATGTATACTTGAAATGCTCCATTTTATATCAGTGATGGCAAAATGTACATAAGTTTTAAACATGAAACAAATCGCATCACACAGTTTTTGGTCCTGCATTGGAGTAGCTACACACAAAGTCCCCAAACACACACAAAGAAAAGCTTAACATTGACAGTAAAACTTTCTATACACACACATATTAGTTCTTTCTGAAACAGAAGTACTGTCACATATATTTGACAAATACTGTCACAATACTGTTACATTTGTTTGAAAACTACTGCCACAGATGTGTCCAATAATTCTAAACATAAAAGCAGAAGTTAACAATTCCTTTTCATGCAATCTTTAAAAAATGTTAATGCACTAAAAGTTCAATGTATTCATTAAATTTTAACCCATGTAAATAACCCTTCATGTATCATTAGAAATCTAACTAATTTCATGAGAATATACTTTATATACCATTAAAATCAAACTAAATACCAATTTTTAAAAATCTACGGTTCTTTATTTACCACTAAACAATCTAATAATGCTCTCTTATGACTTCATGTGTCTTACAAAAGTTAAGTCATGCCTGATTTTGTGTTCACTAAAACAAAAACACTTCTGTCTCATCCCATGTCATAAACTCTCTGGACACACCCAAAAGCCTAGATCAATTTAACGCCACCCCCATGGCTCTTTATATGTCACCTTCTCCATACTGTAATTACTACCATCTTTGCTTTTCTCACTGTTCACTAGACATACACCCACTACCTCTACCATCAGTCACGTTCTGTCCTTTGTCTTGCAAGACCTTTCATATACCAGTCTTGCGTACCGACTTATTTCACTATTAGTTTTTGCTTTTGTTGACTTTCTCATATCAACTGACCATACACAGGAGGAGTCTAGTTTTGTCTGTCTGCTCTTCAAACAACAAATTCAGGTGACTAATTATGACTAGTCTTGTTACATCATGTGTCTGACTTCTCACCTATCAAACTTGTACTGACTTACTGTTTTGCTACCAGTTTTAGTCCTTCTGACCAGTCTGCAAGTCTATATCAAATGACCTTAAACAGGAAGTCTAGTTTTGTCCATAGTAATGTCTTTAGCTCTTAATGCAACAGATTCATGTGGCTATTTATGACTAGTCTTGTTACATCATGTGTCAGACCACATACAACATACTCAGACTGACTATATATCCATGACATCTTCTTATGTGTTGCCTTGACTGGCAACTTTAATCACATCACTTCCTCTGTTTCGGACTCTTCATGGGGCAACAGACTCTGACTACATGTATCACCACTCATGCAAAGTCTGTCTCAGACTACAACTTTGAGTCTTATAAATAAGACTCAAACTGTCATGTGCCACAACCTTCCATCATTGAATATAACCCGAGATCAATTCTGCAACCAACTATACTATGTGTAAGATTCAGGGCAACCGTCTAGCTCAGTCTTTATGTTAAAGAATGTGACGACTGAATCTTTCCACAAAGGACTCATCCATTTCCACCACCAGTGCAGTAGTGTTTCATGTTTACGAATCAGCATGTGTCAGTCACATGCCCACAATCTGTCACAGACAAAGTATATCCCATCTCTGGGTCTTGACAAGTCTGTCCCGTGTCACTCTACTGGTTTTGACAAAGTCTGTCCCATGTCACTTTGTGACAATGTCCCACGTCACATCTGTGCGTCCTGACAAAGTCTGTCCCTTGTCACATCTGTGAGTCTTCTGTCCTTAGTCTGCTTTCCCAAGTCATAATTGTTGGGGTCATTTATCCCGCCTGTATTCCCACTCTAGATCACAGACTCAACACCAACATAGAAAAGGGGCTAACACACCCCAGAGATACTCAAGAGTCAGCATAAGTAGCAGCAGACTTGGATAGTGAATACAGCTACCAGATGCTTCAAACATCCTTTCAGGCAACACGTGAGCTGCAGCATAACAGCAGGTATGCTTTGCATGAGCCTTTATGACAGATACTTTCACACCTGTATACCTCCCTTGCCACTGCTTCCAGTGCTCAGTCACTCTGTCCCCAGGAACGCGTCCAGGACTGGACACTACGGACTCATATGGTAGGTGGTCCATTGACGTAACACAGCTCAGGGCTGATGGTCAGTGAGAAGTTGGTCAGGCGCTTGAGGATGTCGGGGTCCAGGGCACAGACCAAGCCCGTGACCAGCATCAGAGCCACTACCTGGACAGGGAGAGAGCGCAGCCAGGAGGCACAGCTGCGGGTGATGCCGGTGCCGACATGGGATGCAGCTGGACAGCTTGCTGTAGAAGACTTCTGTGACCTGATAGATAGAGCAATAGTTTTAGGTCAAAACTCAACAGGAACAACCATTACCTTTTTTTTTTCAATTAAACCTAGCATATAAAGAAACGTTTTAAACAACCTGTTAATGGCCTAATTAAATGCTCAAGGAAACTGATGAACATTAAATGGAATTAATTAAAGAAAGGCAAAGCAATAAAAGAAATGTCTGGATAACTGCTGGTTATCAGCCGCTATAAGTCGAAGAAGATGGTGACATACTGGGAACACCCTGAGCAAGAAATGACATACCCTGAAGGAGATAAGAGCACCTATGATTATGTCCAATTTGCGATGACGACGACTTTAAATTAACAATCAGGAGAAGAGAAATAAGAAACACTAAACAGGCACCGAAATAGGAAACAAATGGACTGAAGAAATAAGGATGTCTAAAAGAAACCCTAAAATAAACACATACGAGAGGGGCCCAAAGATTCTGGACTGGATTCCATCTTACTGTCAAACTTTGAAGAAAAAAACCGCCACTGGATGGATAACTATTCTTTAAAAAAAAAAAATTTTTTTAAATAACACAGTGCAGAATGGGAAATAAGGCAATATGTGACACTTAACAGCACAAGTGTTGAGGATAAACACACACATACTTTGGATTCTTGAAGACCAGAGCTGCAGCAGTGACAGCCAGCTGGTTGAGATCTGTCTGCTGGTCCAGCGGGATGGTCTCATCATCTTCCATGTCATAGTAGATCTCACGGCACCGCTCAGACACCACAAAGAGCTGGTTACGCAGGTCAGCCACAGAGGCTAGTAGCTGCTGCTGGGCTGCGTGGTCTGAGGTCTTGGTCAGAGATGCCCACATGGACTGCAGTGCTGACAGTCTGGACTCATACAGGGACAGGTTCTCTTGCAACGTCTGAAATAGAAGGTACAACATAAATACCTAAGAAAGATGATTGATTACGTGTGGGTTTCTCAGGCACCACTATAGGGAAAACAAGAAAAAAAAACACTGCCTCCCTAAAAAAAAAACATGTAATAGTCGACTGATTAAGGGTTTCCTTTAAAGGTCAGAGTGCATCTGCCTGACAGGCAAGGGACCAACAGTCTGCATACAGATAAGCCAGATCTATGAAACAGATGGGCATGCCAAACTCAGGTTCTGGAGCAAGACTAAAGTTGAGAAGTGGACAAACACCCAGAACATTCCGCAGGAGCCAGTGACACAAACAGTTTATTACATGCAATGAATCGCATAAGGCACCGCCAGTTCTTTTGCAACAGGCAACTCTCAATTTTCTAAATCTGCAGTTCAAAACACAAACAAAATTGGGCAAATTTAAAAAAAAATCCACAGCCCATGCACTCTACTCCGTAGCTGGGCCACGGAACTATATATATATATATATTCGGTCAAAATATGGAGGCTAACCTGTCAGTAGCAAAAATGTGCTTGACTAAAACAGTAAGACAAGCCTATCCACCAAACTGGACTAAAAGCTGGGTCTATAAAAGATGCAAAGAACGGTTAACTCTAAACCTACCATGAATGACATAAAAAATAACTACAGATGGTTAGCAAGAGACAGGCTGCCTAATTCCAAAGAACAGGGCTATTCAACTGACGGCCAACAGGCCAAATAGCAAATGACCCGCGGATCATTGCCAATTGTATTATATTAATGATCTTTCTATGCTGCCGTTCGTGTCTCTGGCGCCCGTGACGCTCACAATTTTCAAAATTATGGCCCTGGGGTGAACCTTGTTGAACAGCCCTGCCACAGAACATTTAAACTTTATTTACTCTAACTTTACAGAAAATTACACTGCAAAATCCAACCAAACGTGAAAAAATATACAAAAGATTTAGCATGGGTTGGTGAAAGAGTTACATTTTATGAGAAGACATAAGGCAGAATTGAAAGACTCACCTCCAGCTCTTTTAAGACATCTTTCTTGGTAACACGTACACCAAACTCCTGCTGGCAGAGCAACTTGTGCAACCTCTCCCTGTCGGTGACCAGGAAGGCATCCAGCTCCTGCTGGCGAGCTAGAAACTCCAACCAGGCAGCTTGGTTGTCACCAAGATGCTTCAAGTGCTCTGACACTCTGCAAGTACAATGATAATATGATGGGTTTTTCTCTTTTTCACTGCTGTAAGAGATAGTAGCTAACCAACAAATTTAAAGAAATAATGAAATTAAAAACACAGAAATCACAAGAGTTGTAAAAATAATTAAGCTTTTCAAAACTGATACTTCTGGTAGGGTCCACAATCACCAGAGAATGCCCCTTACTGGCATTTCTTCAACTAGGTGTTCCTGAGACACTTAGTTAATGCCACTGGTTGTGATTGCGCCTGCACAGCATTTAGGAGGTCAGAATATGAATATATTTACAATAAAATAGAATTAGGCTGGGGATTGGGTGAGGGGCGATGTTCTTATGAACCAAATGGATGATTCAGAGCTATGTTAATGTCAAATGGTCCTGTAGCCTCAGTGATAAGGTTATGCGTGAGTCACCTGATACTCTTTCAAGAGCTTTTTAGCCCTCATTGCCATCAGAATTCTCCCATCTGCCCATGATAATAATACTATCTATCATACTCACTTGTTAGCCATGGTAGTTGATGACTTGTGAAGACTGGTCAACTCTTGCATGTACTTGTCCACATAAACAGTGGGATACTGGACAGAAAACTCTTTCAGCTGCTGTTTCACCTCTTCCAATTGATTCCCTTGCTGCCCCAGAACTCTTAGTTTTTCCTGAAAACAAGGAGTAAGTCAGTTTCAAAAATGTGTGCAGCAATTATTTACTGTATAGAAAAATAGGTTTTTTTGTAATCCTACCCCAGATGACGTCACAGGACAGTCCAACATTTTAGAGGGTGGTGAGACTGGGTTTCCCGGCTTTCCGATGCTTTTAACAACCTCAAAACAACTAGAACTGGCCCTAACCCCAACCCACCTACGTCCCACGGGAGAGTGCAGCCTAGGTCCCACTACTGCATGCAGACTATCTACCACCCCCTGAAATATTAGACTGTCCTGTGACCTGTGGATTTCCTGTTTGGGGTGGGATATTAGGAAAGCACAGAAACAGAAATTTGTGACCAGAAAGGTTGATGACAATGTAATTCAACCCCACCAGGACATCACACAAAGCGATAAACACCCGGTGACAGGTCCCAAAAATCATGTTCAACACATAGGGTGGGATAAATTGCAGTGCTACTATTCTTTGCTTCTTCTCTTAATGGCCCCAGTAATACATAGGCGGGAATGAGATTTTAACTGTATGTTAGCTGGATTGGTAACATTTTAAGTTTATTCTCTATGACGCCAGTCCCTTTATCTTGGTGTGTATGCTAGACTATGTTCTGTCTGTGTACTCCAAGTACCTGGTTGAGTGGGAGTAAATCATCTGACTGCTGCCACGGATGTCCAGGGCAATTCTCTAACATGCTTATTTTTATCTGGCAAATTCAGAATCTCTACTATTCCCCCTCCCTCAAATGTATTTGCCATCTTTCGTCTTCTAAAAGAGTATCGTCCTAAAAGGACTAATGCCAAGCATTTGAAGATGTTTATGATAGCTGGTCTTTTACCATCCTTAGCGCTTCAAATGACATGCATAGTAGGTTTGAGTTTCAGTACATGTTTCACTCATGGTCCCAACAAGACACAAAAAACTTGTACCTTTATATCTACATTAATCAACAGCTCACCTCCAGAAAGCAGACAAGCTGCTTCAGCTGCTCGGCTGAGCTAAATCTGTCATAAGGAAGACAACTCTCAGCTTCCCGGATCACAGCCTGTGCACCAAACATGACCTCGTTGACAGAATGGAAAAACTTGGCCTGCTTGTGTCGTTCCAAAGCCAGGTTGTGTAGTTTCTCCCACTGATTCATCAGTCCTAAACACAGATTCATAACAGATCATTGCTAACAACCCATTTAATATTATTATTTTTGTTTATTTAACACAAATCTTTGCCCATGTGAATTTACACATATTAATTTTTTTTACTTATAGTCCAAGCACAGTGTCATTGGTCATCGCCTGTCTCGTATGCCGTCTATCATTTCTGACTGAGATGTCCCTCCACGCCATGCTGCCAAAAAGTATTCTCACATCTTTCTTCTTGGTCTTCATTTTATGTAATCGGCTCCAATTTTCATGTTACAACATTATCATAACAACACCTTGTTGTCTGAAGAAACACGTTCATAGTCCATTAGTTCTAAATGGCATTAAATAAGACCTATCCATTAGTGAAAAACAACTTGTAAAACACAATCTACTTTTTTAGAAATTCCTCTTATCCAGATAAGAATTCAAGCAAGAAACATTGCAGTCACCACATCAAGATCACATTATGCGGTTTGGAGTGTAGTACTAGCACTGTATATCCTACACAGCACATGGCTGGCAATAAGGTAAAGAATGCAAGGCTCTAATGTGAGAGTCCAATGATTGCATCCTCAGTAAGGTCATGGATTTTTTTATGTTGGGGGGTAAAATAATAAAATCCTGACCTGCACAGTCCATGGCAACAGCACTAGCCATGTGGCTCTAAATCCTCAAGCTTAAAGGACCCCCCCCCCCCCCCCCCCCCCACCTTTACGCCCCAATAGTAGTAAATACATGCAGTAACTGGACAGTTAGCAGTACACTACAATATTCCCTATAACAGAGACACAGCTGTAAAGGAAGATACTTACCCTTAACCCTGAGGAGGTCTTGCTCGGTGACATCATCAGAGTTGAGGTGCTGGCAGATGCTCTCCAGGCAGCGCTTGTTGGTCTCATACGTCACAATAATCTCGTCCTGCAGGTAACAACAATAACAACATACAAGCACATGAAAAAACGGCCCTAGTTGATATTTATCTTTTCTTCACCAAGAAACAGCTGCATTAATCTGTTAAAATGGCATGCAAAGACAATTTGCGTTCAAAATGGTAAATTGTTATATAGTTTCTGGTTGGAGAGGGGAGGGTTGGGGGCCCTAACTGTGGTGAATATTTATAAATGCTTGTGTGCTGTGTTTGGAAGTTACATGTTTAAACAAAGCTCTGATGGTCAATAGGTTCAAAGATTTAAAGTTTTAGAAAGAAAGATGGACCTGAAGATGTTACTGATGTCGTGAATAAATGGTAACATGAGCTGAAAAAACCTGACATAGGCAAGGGATACAACTAAGGATACCTGCCCATGTTTTGCATTGGTGTAAGGTCACAGAAGGCAATGAGGATTATACAGAAAATTATGATGGGTGAAAGATGAAATGGGTTACACTGTCAGTAGATTTAACTGTTTCAAGACGAGCACCAGGCAGGTCACTATAGAGAGCAACGTTAAACAGATACAGCAATAACAGAGCCAGAGGTCGACCACGCCGAATATAGACCACAAAAATATCAGAGACCCTGAAAAGTACTTTATACGAAGCAAATAGAAGGGCCCGTTCCTGAGATCTCTCTGAGGCATTCTAGGAGTAGAGAAAAGAAAAGAACAGAAAAGAAGAAGAATTTAATTCGTTTTGTTCAAACAGTTGGAAACAAATATGTGCAGCATTATTTCTGAATGCCTCTGGCAAACAGGCTTGAACCAATCACACTGGAATTCCTTTTTTTTTTAAAAATCTCCTGTCCCTTGGATTCTCAATGGTCAAACTGAAGAAGTTATAATTATAAATTATTCTACATAAATCCCACAAACCCTTAAGTTGTTATGTAATTTTTGGTCATTCTAGCACTTGAATTGTAACACTTATGGCTTATGTGAATAATTGAATATATGGCAATGTTTCCCAAACTTGTCTTAGTCGCGGCACTTTTTTCCAATTACAATTTGTCCACTGGCGCCCTAACCTAAGTAAAACTATGAATATTCATATGTAAGAGACTAAAAAAAAAAAAAACTTCTGTATCTTCGAATATTTTGCGGAGCCCCTGTGAAGAGGTCGTTGCTCCCCGGGGCGGCGCCGCATACAGTTTGGAAATCACTGGCATATGGAATTACTAGTTGTAATTGCTCCTTGCATCAACCACATTACTAATACTGAGACTCTTTGTGTTGGCACTTCTGATGGCAGCCTTATGCACTGAATGCATGTGTATGCTACCAGCTTTGCTGAGGCTGCAGTATATGTCCATTTGTTCACAAGGCACAGAAGGGCATTCTGCGTGGTAATTGGCTGGCACAGCAACAGAGCAACTAATGGGATGACTTGTTTGCTATGACGCTGTAACTACGATTACTTTAAATGTAATGTAACAACCGGTGTCAAATGGACCCAGTAATAACATTATCTCCATGGCAAGGAATTCAAGAGAAATTTGACTTGGAATTCCTTGTATTAGCTTGACTGCAGTCACCCCCTTATTTTCTCTATGGCAAGAGTGCCATCCACCATAAAACCTCAGCTCCCATATATTTCCAACTGGTAACAGTATTTACCTTCCCTCTGAGTAATGAATGCTGGCCAGATTCCCTGCAGCAAATAAGTTTACATCATAGAGAATGAAGATCTTGTTCTTTGCATTCACTTGCTGTAAACTTCGATGGAAAGTTCTGGTTGTCTGTCCACCCCCATACTTCAGTCTTGCTCCAGAACCCAATTTCTGTATGCACATCCGTTTTACAGATATGGCCTATTTGTATGCAGATGGTTGGTTCCTTGCCTCTCAGGCAGATGCATTCTGACTTCAAAGGATGTTCCCAGTTAGTTGACTCTTATGACATGCTTCTAGGCAAAGAAGTCTGTTCTTTGATCTATTCTTGTTCTCCCCCCAATGAGGCCCATGAACCCACATGGGGGCAGAATGAAGGTAATGTACTCACATATTTGGCTGGGTTTGGGTGTAATCCTGTCCCCATTGGGTTCTTTCTTTTCTTCCTCAGGGACTGATCAGACAGCTTCAGTGTGAACTCTGACTGGTCTAGTATGTGGTGGAAGTCCTCTAGGTCAGAATCACTGTCATCACAAGGCACACCTTGCTTCGTCTAAGAGGAAATAGACAAGCGTTATTAAAAAAAATGTTTTTAAAAAGTTACTTGCAATTTCTTTACAGGCTTGTTTAAAACCTTCTTCTTCTTCTTTTGTCATCTCACTGATACCAGATTGTAGCCCAGTGTTGAGGTCTACTGTATTTGGGTGGTGGATTTTATTACCGTTTTGCAGGTTTATACTACACCATTTATCATGTCTTGGTCTTCCTCTCACCATCCTTCCAAATGTTCTGTTGTAAAAATCCTCAGATGCAGTTTGGTCTGGTTGCATCCTCACTAGATGGCTGAACCATTTCATTCTTTGTCTGTCAATATAATCCAGACATGGTCATATCATATTCCGACTGTCTCTGTAATGCTGGTATTCGTAACCCTGTCTCTGTAATGCTGGTATTCGTAACCCTGTCTCTGTAATGCTGGTATTCGTAACCCTGTCTCTGTAATGCTGGTATTCGTAACCCTGTCTCTGTAATGCTGGTATTCGTAACCCTGTCTCTTCTTGTAATGTTAGTGACACTGAGGAGACAGCAAATTTCACATGATGTTATTTTCTGTTCTAGTGCCCTATTCATTGTTAAAAACCAACTACAGTATTTGTTGTGGTTTTACTAGACAATTTTCACGTTCCTAGTTTGTCACTGTTTTCAGCATGGTCAGTTCTGGATACTATTGTCAAAATTAAGGCAAAGGGACCTGCTGCCAAATCTTCTGCAGGTGAATCAAATGGAGCGTTTCAGAGTTATGAGCTATGTTATTAACCCCTAAACCACCAATTATACCAGCTAATTGTTACAAAACATAAAAAAAAAACACTGTAACAAATAGCAAGAATGAATGCAATTTATATAAACTTCATATGCCTCGTCTCAGTAACTATCTTGAAACAGTCAACCAGAAGCTGGCCAGGCCAGGAAACTACTCACAAACTTCAGCTTGGAGGACTCCTGTGCAGCACTGGTCATGACGTCAGCCACTAGTGATCTTGGCTGCTTGCTCAGCACAAAGTCATCATCAAACTCCAGATCATCTTGTGGTTCCCAAGGTAACAGCTCCTCACAGGGGTCTTCACTGGCTGTCGGGTACAGCATCTAATATAGAAAACACAACAACTTAACAATCGGGACAAACTGTTTATCTTCTTCTGTCGGGGTTGTGGGGTAGGGTGAATCCTATCAAAAGAAGATGTAAGCAAATAAAAGAGCTATACGATGGTAACAGCAGAGCAGACATAGAGAGTCATGAGTGTTGGGAAGGACTGCTAATACTGAAAGCCCAAGTGGAAGATGCTATAGAACACATCAAGAATTTTAAATCTTTAGGGCCCAGATAACACAACGAATGAAGAATTAAAGGCTGCTGGTGAGCCCTCCTGAATGGTGCCCCAGAGCCTGCAGATGCTCCCCGCTGCCTAATTGTTTCCAGGTACAGGTTTTTAATAGTTTCTATTTTACTTATTTCCCAGTCCCATAAGCCAGAGATCATCTCTGCTCTGTACCATCGCAGTACACCTCTTCCTCGAGTGAGTTCCGGGACCCTATTACAGGGAAAACAAGAATAGACCTCCTGCCTACCCAAAAGCATGTGGTAAGAGTCAGCTAATTGGGAGCTTCCTTCAGAGTCAGAGTGCATCTGCCTGAGAGGCAAGAAACCAACAGTCTGCACACAAAACACTCACGTTTTGGAATAGGACTGCAGTCTAGAAGTGGATGAACAACCAAAACTTACCACCAAAGTTTACAACTGGTGAAGAAGAAGAGGAAGAAGAAGTACACCCCTAACTGGGATCAGTCCAGCCAGCCAATCTGCCTGCTCAGTCCCAAACATGCTCACATGGCCCAGGCAAAATATGCACCTGACTCCCACCACCTGTGACCTCAGCAATGATGCAACCCACTGAGTTAAAAGCAACTATACCAGCTTACTGGGAGAGAAACAAAACTCACCTGGTAATTATCCCAGGTGCTGTTTTCAGACATAGAACCTGAGACATTGTGGACATCTTCGCACTCAGAGGTGGCCATCTCCAGTGGAGCAGTTAAATACTCATCTGTAATGGATACAAACACATCCTTTTAGGAGGATAACATATAACATACACACACTCTTACTCATTCACACATGTTTACAATTGCTCATCAAAATATGAACCCACTGTATTAAAACATGAATAGAAATGCACACTGAAATGTGAACATATTGCCCCAAAACAAGGAAAAAAATGGTGTATGAATAAAAACAAAAATATAAATAAATATTTAAAAATAAGCACAGTGCAACAGAAAAAAAAAGTAATATTTCATGGAAACAAAAACAAATACTCAGGTTTTGAAGAGACAGAATGAAAAGAGTAGCTTAAGAAATTAACATTTTTTTAAAATAGACAAGTGAAATATTTTGGCCACATTAGCAGAGACGACGCTTTTCTTATTTAACTCTTTCAGGACCGAGCAAGGCTGTGTGCATTGACTGAGAGAAGTTCCCATTTGCCCTGTACATACGGATTCACATGCTGTTCTGCATTAGTTTTTAATGTCTGAAACCCCTACTAAAATATTCAGTCAGGGAAGGGAACCCTAACATTTTTACTATGTTTACAAATCTCTGTTTCTACATTTAGGTGCACAATTATCCAATTCATTCTAGTGTAATTTTCTGACAGTGAAGTTTTTAAACTTTGTCTTTGACTAACCATGGATAACAAAGTTCCGAACACAAGAACAGGCTGCAAAATGCACCTTCTATGGTTGAAGCTCTGAAACTTTTTCAGATGGTTTTAATTATGATGATTTTTTTTAAACTTAAATTTTTCGAAAAGTGATTTGGATGGTCAGTTAACATCAATGGCAGCTAAGCAGTCAGCTGTTAAAGATTTTACCACTTCTGAGGAGGACCCAGGAGGACCCATTCCATTTGCGAAGGATGTTACAGTCACCACATTTGCATTCAAAGGACTTTCAAACAGAACCATACTAGTGCTAAGCGGCACTAAAATCAATGCAGCTACATTTTGCTTGGAATGGTCTATTCTCGGCCATTTTGGAATTTTGTTCAGCACCCTATAAGAACCTAGAGCCTCTGAGTTATAAGCTAACATAAGAAATTGTGCAAACTTTCAAAGTTTTATTCTAAAATTTGGATATTTACTGCTCTTGTGGCTGGAAAACCACAGTAAGTGAAGAACTTTGTTGGTAGAATTTTGTCTTTGTAAGTATAACACCTGCTGAATTCTTGTTTTTTTCCTACTAACTATAAGAGCCACGTCCGTGGTTTAGGCATTGTGAGTCTGACTCGTAATTCCAATGTACCGCGATCGAAACCCACTGCTGGCTGCGTGGATTTTTATCATGGTATGGGGTGTCACATGTCTCCAGCCTAATATGGCTACCGTGATGATTGTCCTGGGAAAGTAAAGACCGCTGGCATAATGCTGACCACATTACCCACCTAGTGCCGATGGTCTGTAAAAATATGGGCGCTGTTACCATACACCCGAAACGCCTAAGAGATGGGAAAGGGGATCTTTACTTTACTAACTATAAGAGCATTAAATATGTACATATCAGATTTAAAATGCACATTCATTCCTCTTTAAAAAGAAAAAGATTTGTATGGTTAGCAATTTATATTAAATTTTCAATAGAATGTTTTTCTTTTACATTAACTCCTCTGCCATTTTTGTTTGCAGAGGGAAATTATTATGAGTCGTCTCTCAAAATTATACTGGTGGAAGAAAAAGGTAAAGGTGAGTAAGAGGAAGACAACGATGCAACTGGGAGAACAACATTTAGAGATGATGTATGAACAGCAGTCTCATGGGGGTAGGGGGGAGAGACAGAGAGAGTTGAGACAGAGAGTGTTGAGGGAGAGAGAAAAAGCATTTCATGTAATAAAAGTGATTAATTATGGTTGTTTTCTTGGAAGTCGGCGTGCATCTACCTGAGAGACAAGGAACAAACAGTCTGCATACAAAAAAGCCAGATCTGTAAAATAGATGTGCACACAAAATCCAAGTTTTGGAACAAGACTAAGGTCTAGGATTGGACGATCAACCAGAACGTACTGTCAAAGTTTACAGCCAGTGAACACTAAGAATGCGAAGAAGAAGATAAGCGTACAACACTAAATAAATGCACATAGCTTCTCCCTCTTTTTCTCTGTTTCTGATTAAGAAAGACAAATAGACATAGATTGGAGAAAAAAAGGCAAACAGCCATACTGAAAGATAACTGGGATAGGTAGAGATATACTGAAACAGATTTTTCATTTACAAAGAGAGACAGAGAGAGAGAGAAAGAGAGACAGAGTCATAGAGAGAGAATTATACTGAAGGATAGACTGGGAGACCAAGAGAAACACAGGGAAATATAAATAAATAGACATAGATATAACAGAAACATACAGAGAGACTACCATGTGAGAGGGAAACAGAAAGACAATCAGAAAGACAAGATAGAGTTGGAGACAGTTAGACGGCCGAGAGGTGAAGACACAGAAAAAGCAGAAAAGAGAAGATGTCAAGAAAGACAATCAGAAAGACAAGATAGAGTTGGAGTCAGACAGACATCCAGAAAAGTGAAGAGAGAGAAAAAGCACAGAAGAGAAGATGTCAAGAAAGACATTCACAAAGAAAAGATAGAGTTGGAGTCAGACAGACGGCCAGAGAAGTGAAGAGACAGAGAAAAAGCAGAAAAGAGAAGATGTCAAACATACCTGTTGTTTCCGATTCAGACCCTCCCTCGGCACTGCTGTAGTTGTCTGTGGTGCTAGAGCTGGCCGTAGCTGAACCCATGTGGTTGCTGACCTTCTTTTCCAAACTTGACCTTCGCCTTGAATGCCTTGAACGCTGATTTTTACGAGGGGACAAGCCCAACGAAGCATCAGAGCAAGACAGTTTTGGGGTTGAGAATGTACTACCTGGCGGGGCAATGTTCAAGGTGGAGTCTAAGTCTTTTGCTGTTTCCATGTGTGAGCCTGAATTTAATGTTGCAATATTTGCAGAATTCTGATATTTTAATTTCCGTTTGGCAGATTTTGCAGCAGACGAATTATCTAATGACGAGACCGTTTTAGGGAAATTCCCACTGCGGCTGTCACGTGGGAACGTCGAGAAATGAGAGGATGTGGTGAAATGAGAAAATGAGTCTATGTCCGTGTGAAAATGTAAATAATCAATTGCACTTTCGGAAGCTGCTACAGTTTGCTGTAAATTGTCAAACCTTTTGGAGGCGAGGATATCCTCCATGCCGACCACACTCCATGGCCTGTCCTTTCTCCCCTTCTGTTGCCGGCTTCCGCCTGTCTGCTTCTTCAGATGAGCAGAATCATAAACCTCGGAGGAGTTTGTGGACGAAAACATGTCAGTCAAGCTTACATGTTTACCAGACTCACTAACCGACTCCAAGTTAATCATGCTGTTGAACAGTGTTTCGTCAGCATCATCCGTTGCTGTGGAAAATCCTTCATTACTGCCAGTTTTGAGAGCTTCACATTCAGAGTTATCTTCCCCGCTAGCATCACAAGAGCTCTCCACCGTGCTGCACGAGTCGGTCTGAGTTTGCTTGGACGGGGATGTCAACATCTGATGCTGCTTAGCTGGAGATGACGGACAAGAAGAATATCTTGGGCCAAGTGGTTTCACCAAATCTTCTGCATGTTCAATCAGGTAACGGATGGATTTCTTCTCTTTGCATTCTGTGGCACCGTCTGATTCAGATAATTCTATGATTTCATGCATAGTGGTGAGACCATTGCACCCTTCTTCCAGATGTTGCTTGTCAGTTTCTCTATGCATGTACTGTTTCTCTCTCACAAATTCTCCAAAGGAAAAGGATGAAGGCATGGAGGTAATTTCCCAGGACTCGTCCAAAACATCTGAAGATCTGTCATTTTTTAGGTCACAGAAAGATTGATTGGGGCAAACCTCAATTATGTCAGACCCCAGAACATTCCTATTTTCACAGGTCTTGTATTCAAAACTGTCTTCTTTAACTCTCTCGCCACCAGAATCTGTTGTGTCACCATTATCAGTTCTATCTGTGGAGTCAATATCTACAAGAGTCATGCGGTAGTAGTCGGATCTGACTCCAAG